GCATATTTCTATTATAATTGACGCGTATTTTTAGTTTTCACAAAAAAAAAATCTAAGAAATTCGGGAACTAGGAACCATTATGAAGTACTGTGAAAAAAACGATATTTCAAACACCAACTCATGTAAAAATATCTCACCCTTTCTCCTCTTATAGTTAAATTAAAGTCTAATAAATAATAAATGAAAAATTTTAAATGTTGGTGACCCCTTGATTAATTAAATATAGGTTACCGATGAAGCCAATAACTGGTTAGTGTATAATTGTTCCTAGTTACCTGTGTTGCCTATTTATTTCTATATTGTTTTGTTTGCTCACTGTTACATCGTGTACTTTAATTTATTGATTTTAATTGTCTTATTGTCTATTGGTTACTCAACCATTTTCATCCTTATCCATTAATTTGGTTTTAAATGAATGTTTTAATTATGTTTTCTCATATTATTGTGTGTTAGTTTATATCGTCTATTAAATGATTATCTTATTGTCCTGTAATCATGAAATAAAAATATTGAATGTGTTTTGTGGCTAAATAGTAATGTGGACATGTATGTGTAAGGTAATATTATTCAACTAAAGGGCTTACTAGGTAACTTGAAAAAAAGGTGTACGGATCTAGTACATAGGGCAATCTGCGTGCCAATCGATCCAACGGTCCGGATTTACTCCCGTCCGCACGAACGACCTAGATCTGTTTCTCCTTCAGGCGCGATCGAACGGTCCACGTACCTTCGATCGGATGACTCTAATTTGTTTCTCAAATAGGATAGATCGGACAGTGGAGATTGGGCCATGTAGCCTCAAATGGACGGTCCGAATCGAAGGAGGAGAAGTATTTAAACTCATCTTCCATCAAAACTCTAACCCTAGCCGCAACCAGTTCACTGGAGAAGAAGAAGAAAGGCAGTCGAAAGAGAAGTCGGCCACTGTCACCGCCTCACCGAAACTCTCACCGACACCGAAATGTGAGTTTTTTCTTCCCTTTCAATTTATTTTTCGATTTTAAGCTACCTCAAACCCTTATCGGTGCTGAAAAACCAAATGAGAAGTCGGAAACGAAGAGCAGAAATCGGCTGAGCCGCTGCACCTGAAACCCAAAAT